ACCCTAAAATGGCTCCCTTAGTTGAGGTATTTACTTCCCTGCTCCCATATCCATCCTTCCTCCATCCCACCCCTCCCATTCCCCCAAACTATCCCGAATCCTCCCCTTCTCACCTTCTCTCTACCCAACTCCCCTTACATCCACCCCAACCCCCCATCCCCCCCACCCCACCCCACCCCCGTGCCCCCAAGTTTGCCTGGCAATCTTGTCTACTTCCAATATCCAGGAGGATAACTATATGATTTTCTTCAGGTTCACTTTCTTATTTAGCTTCTCTAGGATCACAAATTATAGGCTCAAAGACCTTTAATTATGGCTAGAATCCACTTATGAGTGAGTACATATCATATTCCTCTTTTTGGGACTGGGTTACCTCACTCAGTAAAGAGTTTTCTATTTTCATCCATTTGCATGCAAAATTCAAGATGTCATTGTTTTTTTTTGACCGCTAAGTAAAACTCTAATGTGTCTATGTGCCACACCTTCTTTATCCATTTCAGTTTCTAAAAGAAGTTATTATCCAAAACTTGAAAAACTCGAGTCTTCTCAGACGAGCATGTAGACAAATGGAGAGAATAAACAAAAATAAAATTTAAAAAGATGCAGGAGTGTTCCCTTTAACCCACAACCTCTCCAGTAAAAGCTGTCATCAGAGTTTCTGAGCTTGGCCATTCTTACAGGTGTAAGATGGAATCTCAGAGTTGTTTTGATTTGCATTTCTTTGATGGCTAAGGATGTTGAATATTTCATTAAGTCTCTTTCAGCCATTTTGATTCCTCTGGTAGGAGTTCTCTGTTTAGCTCTGTACTTCATTATTTTTTATTGGATTATTTGTTCTTTTGATGTCCAATTTCTTGATTTCCTTGTATATTTTGGAGATCAGTCCTCTGTCTGATGTGGGGTTGGTGAGTGCAAGCTGGTGCAGTCCCTTTGGATGTCAGTGTGGCAATTTCCCAGAAAATTAGGAAACAACCTTCCTCAAGACCCAGAAATACCACTTTTGGGTATATATCCAAAGGATGCTCAATTGTACCACAAGGACATGTGCTCGACTGAGTTCATAGCAGCATTGTTTGTCATAGCCAGAACCTAGAAACAACCTAAATGCCCCTCGACCAAAGAATGGATAAGGAAAATATGGTACATTTACACAATGGAGTACTACACAGAAGAAAAAAATAATGACATCTTGAAATTTGCAGGCAAATGGATGGATCTAGAAAACATCATATTGAGTGAGGTAACAGAGGCCCAGAAAGACAAATATCATATGTACTCACTCAAAAGTGGTTTTTAAACATAAAACAAACAAAACCAGCTTACTATTCACAATCTCAGAGAACCTAGAAAACAATGAGGACACTAAGAGAGACATATGTGGATCTAATCTACATGGGAAGTAGAAAAAGACAAGATCTCCTGAGTAAATTGGGAGCATGAGGACCATGGAAGAGGATTCAAGGGGAGAGGAGAGGAAGGGAGGGGAGCAGAGAAAAATGTAGAGCTCAATAAAATAAAAAAAAAGTAAGAGAGGAAAAAAATTTAAGAGATGATGTCTGATGAGGGAGCAGCTAGATAAAAACGGAACAGTAACTATAATGCAGGTTATTCTGTCTTTAAATGTTACTGCTGTAAAGGTGGTGGGGCCTGTAAGAGTGGAGCTGAATAATGAAGTAGACTAAAGTGTCATGAAATAGCCAACTTTATCCAGAAATCAGACAATTTTATACTCTGTGGGTTAAGTGGAGTCATATGAATACAATCACAAAGGTCAGCTGCATGAGAAAAAAGTTTTTCCTTTGAGGTATAAACAAATAACAATAGCCAGTTGTAATGAATAATCTGTAGTAAACTTGCTTCTATCTGCTATACTTGGAAGGGGCAAGAAAGCATAGCCCGAGAAAAGTTCCATCTTTTTGAAGAAACTGAGGGCAAAGGACTCTTGTCTTGGTTTTCTGGAGTTTTCACACAAGTGCTCAGAAATCTCCTCACATTATTCCATTCTTGGACCGTGTTCTGACATTAAGGTTTCATGATATGGCATGCTTCTGAGTTCATTCTCAAAGTATTCTATTTTCTGTTTCTCTGCTTGGATTATGTGCCTTCACAATATTTGTCATGAGGGGGATCATCTGGGCTTGCATAACATAGCAATGAAAAAAATGGATAGAAGAACTTTAAGTTTTGGGTGTCAAGGGAATTTTATCTGTCTCACACTGGACCTGCCAGACACTGGTACCTTCCATAGGAGACTGGACCTGAAGAGGGGAGCAAAGGCAGGTCTTAGGCTTACGGGACAAGGGAAAATAGGCTAGCTTTTTTAAAATTTGGTAATGCTTATGATGTTATTGAGCACATATAAAAAGGTGAATTATTTTAGTACTTGTCTTTTCACAAGGTGGAAAAAACTAATCCAAGATTGGGAGGGCACCGATAAATCTCAGGGTCACTTTTGTATAAAAAAGACCCACTTAAGCTTTGATTTTTAGGAAAGCAGAGTTGTCAAATGCAAGCAAAACAAAATTTTAAAAGCCTTATCTCATTTAAAAATAAGAAATTTGGGTTCCATTATGCTGTTCCATATGTCCATTCCATACCAGTTCCTCAGGGGAAGATTAATAGGGTTTCCCCCTCAAACTGTGATGAATGATAATCCTTGAGCTCTAAAGAACAGTAGCCAAATTTTTAGAAGGTGATGTTGGATTTCCCTCTGTATGCTATGATTACCATTAATGAAAAAAGAAACTGGCTTGGCCTATATCAAGGTAGAACTTAGGTGGGGAAAGCTAGGCTGAATATTGGGAGAAAGAGGGCGTAGTCAGAGAGAAGTCATGGAGCTTCCAGTGGAGACAGATGCACTGAAACTTTGCTGGTAGGCCACGACCTCGTGGTGATGCACATATTAATGGAGATGGGTTAGATTAATATGTAAGAGTTATCCAATAAGAAGCTAGAGCTAATGGGCTAACCAGTGATTTAATTAATACACTTTCTATTTGGTTATTTCAGAGCTGAGCAGCTGGGAACCAACAAGTGGTCTCCCACAACAAGAAGGAACTCAACAGTGATTCCCCTACCCCCACCCAATTCAGTCCTCAAATTTAATATTTATTCTTGGTAAAGGTTAAAACAACATTTTTTTTACAGTTAACAAACCAAGAGAGGAATTTGGAGTTATCATCATATCAGAGAAAACATTGATAGTTGTGAATATAATAAATTAAATTGAACTGAAAAAAGAAAGACATCTGGGCTCCTTTATAATAAAGGAGATTATTGTGATAAAACACAAAAGTTTAGTTTCCTAGTCAGGTATTTTTAAAGTAAAGAAAAACCTTTTACAATAACTTTAACAAACAGACAAACAATCCAAGAAAACCAAATTAAAGTCTGCATTTACATTAGTACATTATTGAATTCATAACACATGAAATTCCCTTTCTGTAAACCTTTTATAACTTTCTATATCCATTTAGTTTCACTCAATTTTCCATCTCTTATTAGATCTTAATAGAAAATTGCACCTTTTCCTTAAAAAGACATTTTTTATTCCTTGTATACATTTCCTTACCAAAATATATCTTATTTTCCTTACAAACTTTGTATATAGAGACTTTTTCCTTTACCTTTATTATTCCTAGTAATTCACTTGCATGCATTGATTAGAATTTGTAACTCTAGTGGTTTTAATTTCTAGAAAAAATGTGACTGTATAGCTGTCTGTTATTTTTCAGCATTCTTTAAGATATTAATACATTTGTGAAAATACTGTTTCACAATTCCTAGAGTTTTGTTAAGTGTTTCACTGTAGAAAAACTATCAAGCACAGATATATTTACCTTCACTGTATTATATTTAAAGAAACCCCATGTACATAAACATAAATTTATACTTAGTAATAAGTGCTTTAACAATTTATCTTACTTTGAAATTATCAATGATTATTTATTATCTCGTATAATTCCAAAAATTATACATTACAAATGATTGAATGCATTTACAAATACATTTAAAAAATAAAACAGAGACTAAACATATACAATAAATCAATGAAACAAAGTATTTCTGTGAAAAGATGAAATTAGTAAACCATTCATCTAGGAAAAATGTGACAATATAAATAAAATTAATAATGAAAAAAGAAACATACAGAAATACAAAAGATCAGTACTTATTATTGTAAGTATATTCCAAAAATGCAAAACATAGGATGGATAAAGTTCTGGACATGTATTACCATCCAAAACTAAACCATGAAGTCATAGACTCTAAATAAACCAATAAGAAGTGCAGTGAAACAGTAACAGCCTCTAAGTCAAAAAAAAGTCAAGACTAAATAGATTCTATGTTGAGTTCTATCAAAAACTTAAAGTATGGCACAAGTGATACGATGAGGGGAAATGAAAAAGGAGGTCTACATAGGAAAGGAAAGGGATATAAATACAGAAGATGGAGAAAGGTGGTAAAATAACAGTAAGGATGTCTGAAAAGTCATACTATTCTATCTACCTAAAACCCAACATAATACAAGTCTCTGCATGGATATACATATATAGCTTAAATGAAAATTTCCCATTTAGAATGGCAATACTCGTCCAAAAGCTAAAGACTAGCTAACAAAAAATGCCAACATCAGGCACCAGAAATTCTCTTTTGAGTTATGGTCAATCATCCTTGTCCAAAGTGACCCCCTAAAATGTTGCAGGCTATTGCTATTGCCCTTGGTTGCCTGCCAGAGGAGGAAGGTGAGTATCTATTTCTATAGATACCACTCATTTCAGAAACCGGGGCCAAAGACCCCTGAGCTGGAAATGATATGAAAACCTTCTCCCAGAGGAATAAATTTTATATATCAGAAGGCATTCTGCAGGCTTCCAGAAGAAGGAAGAGACCAATAGACCTATCCAGCTGTGATGCATATGAACTACATCAATGACTAAGATGGCAAAATAACTCTGAGGATGCAGTAGTGACATGCATATATGTTGGTGGTAACCAACAGCTTTCTAATTTGTCTTAAGACATGCTCAATGAGAGGGAAGTCATACTTGTTCCTAGAAACCTAGCCAACTACCCAGGGCTAGTAAAGTCATGGATTTTGGAGGAGAACTTATAATCACCACTTTACTAAGCCAGTATAATCATTAACTACATTCTCAACATTTGTCTTTGACAACATGTGTAGTCACCACCCTTCATCAGGGATACTTCTCTTTCAAACAGAGATCATTATAGAAAACCACATCGCAATGCAGAGTTGTGGAGCACAGTTCCAACAGCTACATCTACAATCAATGCCTGCAGCTTAGGTTTAGCAAGCATTGCAGAAGAAGAAGAAGAAGAAGAAAGATTGTAAGAGCCAGGGGATCAGGTAAGCTTGCTGGGAGACTATGTCTCCTGCATCCATAGAGAGTTATGAAATAGAATATTTGTTTAACGATGTAAAATGTGTTGCTGTGTTACCTTACCTGCTCAAGACACCCAATTGGTCTAATAAAAAGCTGAACAGCCAATAGCTGTGCAGAGGAGGGATATACAGGGTTTGTGGGCAGAGAGGAAAGGCGAGTTGGCCAATCAGCGTGGGGGGAGGCAGCCCGCTGGGGGCCAGCCAGGCAGGCAACAGAAAACCAGCTAGCCAGTCATGAGGGGGCCAGCCAGACTCAGAGGAAACATGAAAGCAGGATAGACAGTATATAGATGAGGTAATCAAGCCTTGGGGTAGCATATAGATTAATAGATATGGGTTAATTTAAATTTAAAAAAAACTAGCTAGAAACAAGGTGAGCATTCATAATTACTAATAAGTCTCTCTGTCATGGTTTGTGGGCTGGTGGTTCAAGAAAGACTGCTTCCATAGAGTCTCAGGAATTTGACTGCCTAGTATGAGCTTAACAAGAACAAGCAAAGACATACTAAAGTGATATCAATTCTCAAATTATTCCAAAAACTGAAAGGGAGGAAATTCTTCAAAGCTAAATTTATGAAGCCAGAATTATCTTGATGCTGAAGCCAGAAAAGTACACAGAAAAGAAAAAAAAGCTATAGAGAACATAGAAGCAAAAAATCTCAATAAAATACTACCAGTTTGAACCAAATAGCAAGTTAAAAAAATTCATCATGAATAGATATTGTTCAATACAGGTAAATTAATACATGTATCAAATCAACAACACAAATGACACAGTGATACATATGATAATCTCAATAAATGCAGGAAAACATTCTGATGTGGTATTCCCTTTTGTATGCTCTGAATATATTTTATTACCTTTGATTAATAAAGAAGCTGCTTTTGCCTATTACAAAACAGAATAGAGCTAACGGGGGGAGATCAAACTGAATGCAGGGAGAAAAAAGGTGGACTCAGGGAGATACCATGTAGCTGTTGAAGGAGAAAGATGCCAGAAACTTTCCAGTAAGCCAGTCTTGTGGTGATATACAGATGAATAGGAATGTTTTTGTTTAAGATATAAGAGCTAGGTAGAAATATGCGTAAGCAGTTGGCCAAGCAATGTTGTAATTAATATAGTTTCTGTGTGATTATTCAGGTCTGGGCATCCAGGAAAATAAAGGAACAATCTGTTTACAACATTCAGTAAAATTCAGCACTATTTTGTGAAAAACTCTGAACAAATTATGTATACAAGGAATATTATAAATGCTTTACAAACTCTCAGTCAGCAGAGCACTGAATGATTATGAACAATAGAAGGATGTCCACTTTCACCCCTCTAGTTTAACATAAAACTGAAAGTCAACCAAAGGAATTAGACAAAAGAAAGAAATAAAGGACATGTGACTAGGAAGTGACAATGTCCTTGTTTGTAGATGACAAGATTTTACATGTAAAAAAACATGAACTCTGTTAAAAGACTAGTAAAACTGATAAATGAATTTAGTAAAGTTTAAGCATACAAAATCAGCAAACACAATTTGACAGCATTTCACACACAATATTGAGACTTCTGAGAAAGATAACATGAAAGAAGTACTACTCAAAATAATTACAAAAATACATAGGTATAAATGTAACTAAAGCAATAAGAAATTTCTACAATTAAAATCACAAAATTCTAATGCAAGAAATTGAAGAAATATAAGTGAATGAAAAGACTATTTGTGTTCATGGATTAATGTAACTAATATTGCTAACATTTCCCTTCTAACCAGAGATCTCATTGAGTATATTTATCACCCTTTAAATTCCTTTTATACATTTGCATAAGAAGAGAAGAGATCCTGGACTCATGTCATAGAAGCCAGCAACCAATCAGAACAGGAAGTTGCTTCAGTCCCTGGAAACCAATGCTTACTGAAATATGTGCTGCAGAAGTACTAGCTTTGGGGAAGGATATATTCTTAGCTAGAGACAAGTGATTCATTAAGCCCCCATGATGGCTGATATTGTTTATCAACTTAACATGACCTCAAGTAACTTAAGAAACAAACCTCTAGGACTGACTGTAAGGGTTCTAAAAAGTTTAACTAAGGAGGGAAGACTTGCTTTGATTATGTGGCTCCATTTCATGCTCTATGGTCCTATATTGAAAGCAAGCAGAGAAAGAGTTATTCTTTGCATCCTGCCTGTGGGTAAAATGTGACCAGCTACTTCCAGTTCTGTTATAAGGAGGTAACTTGTTTGTTTCCAAACCACTCAGCAGCTCAGACATGAAATAATCACGCAGAAACTATATTATTTAAAATACTGCTTGACCCATTATCTCTAGCTTCTTAATGGCTAACACTTATATCTTAATTTAACCCATTTCTAGTAACCTATGTATCGCCACATGACTGTGGCTTGCCAGGTAAAGTTCACAGCAACTGTCTCTGGTGGGACTACATGGCTTCTCTCTGTCTCTGCCTCTGTTCTCCCAGCATTCACTTTAGTTTTCCCAGCCTAGTTCTATTCTACCCTATCATGCCAAGCTAGTTTCTTTATTAACCAATGATATTCACAGCATACAGAGGGGAATCCCACATCACCTCCCCTTTTCTGTTTATATAAAAATGAAGGCTTTATCTTTAACATAGTAAGATTACATATAACAAAACAAGTATCAAGCAAGAATTGTTCATTTATCTTTTATCACAACTAGGGAAAACTATAATTATAAATTCTTCAACTCCATCAAAGACTCCAGAAGGAGATAATATTACCTAAGTGTAACAGGAGGAGCGGGCTGCTTGTCATCCCAGTCATCCCGCTAGCTTAAACCCGAAATAATCACATAGAAATTGTATTAATTAAATTACTGCCTAGCCCATTAGCTCTAGCCTCTTATTGGTTAACCCTCACATCTTGATTAACCCATTTTTATTAAATCTGTGTATCACCACATGACTGTGGCTTATCGGTAAGATTCTAACCTATCTGTCTGAGGCAGGAAATTTATGGCGTCTGCCACTCTGCCCTTCTTCCCAGCATTTAGTTTTGTCTACTCTGCCTACCTAAGTGCGGCCCTATCAAAAAGCCAAAGCAGTTTCTTTATTCAACCAATGAAAGCAACACAAATACAGAAGGACCTCTCACACCACCTAAGTAAACATGAAGTACATTGTAAGCAACTACCAAAACTCTAGAGTTGACAGAGACTTCTCACTGCCTGGACAGTCACCCAAAGTTCTTTTGAACCATTGGGGCATCCATATTCAGCCTACAGGCTCATAGTATTCAGCAGACTTCTTCATGAAGCTGAGAATTTCAAAGACAATTCTGCCTATTGTAGCAGTTTGTCAGTCACTTTCTCCTGTGTTCAGAAGAATATTTGGCAGATTCTTTCATGAAGCTGGAACCCTGAAGGGTGGTCTCACCTTTAGGCAAGTTCAGCAGTCATTTTTCTGTGGGTCCTGCATGTCCAGTTTACACAGCATACCATCAAAGCAGTCCAAGCAAGAACAGGTTCTTACCCAAAGTGCTAGTAAACTCCATGAGGAGCCTCTTTGATGCCCATCTTCCTCTTGAAGCAGCTTGGTACTGCCAGGAGCAGATGTATCTCACTGTCATGAAAAGTCCTAAGTTCTTAAAACATTTTAATGCCAAAGTCTATAGTCTTTAGAAGGTTTGAAAAATGCCTTTCCATCTGAAATACATTATTTGTCCATCTAGAAAATCTAACTAACATGATTACAAGCTTGACTATTATAGGCAATTATTTATTAGCCTATATTTCTTAATTGTACATTACATTTTAAATGAACTACACAATCAGAATGCCTTAATTAAGAGCAGAAATATACATATTAACAAAATTTATCTGAAATTTGCATCAACAAATCAAGATCCATACCAATACAAATCTCTATAGTATATCCCTTTTAAAATGTAAACAAACATTTATAAACGATCATTTAGGGATTTGGGGTATAGCTCTCTCCAAACTACTTCCTGCTGTTTATTGGGCAAAGTAATTTTTGAGGGGTGTTCAAGGCAACCTTTCAGGGGGTCTTGGTCCATCAAATCACATTAGTCTGGAGGGATTCCACAGGTTCTCATCTCTTGTGGAAACAAAAGAAGAATCTCTTTTCTAAAACAACATATCCTTAAACTCAAATTTTTGAATCAAGATATCTTTAAAATATATATGTTGGTTACTTAGCTTCTTCACAGTCAAAAATTCAAAGAAAACACAATAATATACAAAATACAAGCTCTCTGTGAATTTTCTATCTTTACATGGGTTCCTTCTCTTTTTCTTCTCTCTCCCAAGCCTACATACATTTATCCCAAACACTGTGACCCATTTAGAGGTCTTTTTCATCTGAATTTGTTGTTATTGTGTATCTGAAATTCTTTTCTGACCAGAAGTGTGTCATAAAATACTAAGTCCTTCTTATGAATATAAGCAGTGCCATTGCTAGCGGAAATACAGCACTTACTACTTGCCCTGCCTAGTCCATCATGGTGGAGCTGTTTGCTGCCTCTGAGAGCCATGCTCACAGCCTCATTTTTAGGCATACAACCAGTCTATGTTGCCATTAAGCAAGTTGTAACACTCTGTTCATAAACCCCATTTAAATGCTACATAGCCAGACTTCCAGAAAGAGTCAGAGTTCATGCTGGCAGTATGGCCCAGAAATCAAGCATTTCAAAGCTGCATGGCTTTTTTTTTCTACCACTGAGTCAGAAAAACCTCTTTTAAATGAACTGGAGCATGCTGCCAGCAAACAGCAAGAAGCTGTGTTAAACTCTGTATTTTTGTGTCTAGAATTTCTTTCCAAGGTCTCTCAGATTTTTAAGTTGCCTTAGTCCACCAGTTGCCTTAGGCACACCAATTTGCTGTATGGGGGTCATTTGTTTCCTGGCTGCCCAGCAGCTCAGACCCGAAATAATCACACAGAAACTATATTATTTAAAACACTGTTTTGCTC